AAAAAAAAAAAAAAAAAGTTTTTCCCTGAGTAAGAAAACTTATGAGCTCTGGAGAAGCTGAAGCTATTCTGCAGCCCTTGTGGCTGCAGTTAGAAGAAACAACTGTCCCCTGCCTTGGGAATGGTTCAGTCCTCCCAAGGGTGGCCCAGGCATTGGCTGTAGCACACATCTGTGTCCCCATTGATTTCCTGTTTGGCTCCTTTTCTTCATCACATTTCTCTTTCTCTGGGCCACTCACTTATTTTATTAAAGATTGCAATCAAAGGGTAGTGGGTGCTGTCTTTAATACCACCCTTATCTTGCGGTCCCACAGACAGACAGCATCCTCAGCTTTCCTTGAAGGCACTGACATGGGTGCCTTTACTCCACTCACAACACTCAAGCATTCAGTGTTAGAATATGCTAAGCTCCTTCCCAAGATGCTGTGAAAAGTCTGACTTTTGTTTTCAAGCCCCACTTCCTAATTTTGGCTTTTTTTTTTTTTGGTGGGACTGGGGTTAGAACTCAGGGCTTCATGCTTGCAAAGCAGGTGCTCTGCTGCTTGAGCCACACCTCCGGTTCCAGTCCATCTTGCTCTGGTTATTTTGGAGATGGGGCTTTGCAAATTATTTGCCTGGACTGGCCTCGAATCATGATCCTCTTGATTTAGCCTCCCAAGTAGCTAGGATTATAGATGTGAGCTACCAGTCCCTGGCTAATTTTGGCTTATGCATATTTCCACTAAAACTCTTTCCTGGAGCAAGAAGAAGGAAACTTAAGGATGCCCCTCTTCCTACTCCTGCTCCTCACTTTCCAATACTAGCAGTAAAGAGGGACGTTTATTTTCAAGGAAACACTTAATTGTCTATTTGATTCCTTTTATAGAAAACTGCATTAAGACTAATTCTTTAAAAATCACCCCCACACCCACAAGCCATTGATAGCATTGTTTTGAGGTTTCAACCTTTGTCAAAAATGTGTAGCTGGATTATAAAATTAGAATTTTCCAAATTCTGTCAATTTTTCATCTAAGTTCATTTGTGCCAAATTGCCAAGGGAAGTAAAGCCTATTGAATGAATGAACAAAGTGTCAGGGAGGTTCCTACCTGAGAGTCTGAGTTATTGTTGTGGCAGAGATGGCCAAACTGTCCCCAGGGGTCACTTCCTTCCTCTTAGTAAGAGAACCACCCATGGGATTTAGCTGGATATGTAGCTGCCTAGTTGGGATTGCCACGGCTTTGTCCTCATGTTGAAATCTGATTCCCAGTGAAGGTGTTGAGAGGTGGTGGTAGGACGTTCATAATTAATCAGTGGTGCTCCATCCTCCTGAGTAGATCAGTGTCTTTCTTCAGAGGCTGGATTAGGTTGCTCAAGACTAGATGAGGTCTTGAGGGAGTGAGTTGGGTCTCTTGGGACTAGATTAGTTACTGAAGAGTGGGTTGTTATAAAGCAAGGTTACCCTGGTGTTTTGTCTCTTCCACACATGATGCTGTGTGATGACCTCTGCTGTTAGGATCTTACCCAAATCCCTGCACATGCTGGTACCATCCTAGACTTCTAGAACTGTGACCAAAATAAACACCTTTTCTTTGGAAAGCATTCAGGTATGTTGTTATAGCAACACAAAACAGACTAAGGACTCTAGTTATGACCATAGAATGTAAGCAGAAGTGGCCCTTATAACTCATAATGGTTTTTCCTGCTTGTTGGGTATCGATGGCAAGTAGAGAGCCAACTGGCTAGCTTGGATCTCTGGAGGACCTGTGGATCTACTCACTTAACTTTGAATTGCTGGACTTGAGAAAAACAAACTTCTTTGTTTTGTTTCTGTGACAAGGATTTTGTATTTCTTCCTTGCAGCAACTTATGCTATACCCTAACAAGTACAGTTATAGGTACATTTCTGTTTCTGATAAGCTTCTCCAAGAATCTTCTACCCATTAAATGACTAGATTTATTAAGACAACTTAAAAGCCACATTAATGGAGCCATGCATGGTGGTATGTTCCTATAATCCCAGCACTCTGGAGGTGGAGGCAGGAGGAGAATCATGAATTTGAGGCCAGTCTGGGTTATACAGTGAGACCTGTCTCAAAAGCCAAAAACAAATGATCAAACAAAAGTCACATTAATGTAATTAAGTAACATTTATTTTACATAAAACAATTTTCAAAGAATACATTTAAAAACAATCTAGATACTGATTTTATAGCATTACAAAAATTGAGAGGTAAAATTGAAGTATTCAAATAAATTGTGAGGGCTGGAGATGGGGCCTATGATTGGTATCCATGGTGTTTCTTAGTCACTGAAAAACTCCTGGTAAGAGTCTTTATATGAGGCAGTGGTGCACTTTCATTTAGTAGGAATAAATCACATAAAATATATACTTTCATACAGAAAGTGTTATTGTATCATCACTCTCAATTACTTATAAAAACTTCATTTTGAATTGCACAAAAGTTCTCTTTTAAAATTGACAATTCCCAGAAGACAGGGCTTAGAACTATATGTCTAAATAATTCATTACAAATTCATTAGGTTTACATTTTTCTCCACAGATAAAAAAAATCTATGAAGAATTACATTATTCAAGTGGGACATTTAAAATTTTTCATAGCAAAATAGGTGTACACATCTGTCCCTAGTCAGCTAAACTTGTCCCCCTACTTTAAAACAAATCACAGGGTGCCCAGAGTTTTAAATCAGAGTACCTATGCCACAATACAATGTGGATGTTTACGTTAATTCATTTTGTGTGTCATTCTACTGTAGTATCAAATTAGCAAAAAGGCACATGGGTACATTCTTCCGAACAGTTTTGGTCTTAAAAAAAAAATCACACGTTTATAAGCAGTGATTTCAATCATGTTTAAAAACAAAAATACTAAGCAAACTCCTTTCTTGCAGATGAAACAGCCTGTGAAATCTCTGCAGGTGTGTCACTTGCCATAGAACTTCTTGTTGAGCAGGTAGATGAGAAGGTTTACGTTTACTTTAACCTTATCAAACATTTTCATCACAGCCACTCCTTCGTACTGCATCTCAAGTAAATCCTAAAATCAGAGGGAACAGCATTAAGTGTCAATTCTGACATTTTGTACATTTTAACCACATACTAGAATTTATTTGATGACAAAGATAAGATTCATCTGGTCTAATGACCTAGATGGTCAGTATTGGGGCTTGAACTCAGGGCCTCATACTTGCTAGGCAGGCACTCTACCACTTGAGCCACTCTGACAACCTTTTGTGTGTGAGTGCATGTGTGTGTTGGGTATTTTTTGAGATAGGGTCTTGCTTTTTTTGCCTGGGCTGGCCTAAGAGCTCAATCTTCCTGATCTCTGCCTCCTGAGTAGCTAGGATTACAGGCGTGAGCCACCAGTGCTGACTCTAGATGGGGGTTTTTCAACCTTTGTGCTTATTAGAATCATCAAAATGCAGGCTAGTGAAAACTCATATTTCTGGGCCTCATCCCCAGAAAATTCTGAGGGGAGATCCATGACTTTGCATTTTAACAAGTTCCCAATGATGGTGATACTAGTGGTCAGGAGGCCACACTTTGAGAATCTCTGCCCTAGATGAAAGAAATTAGGGTTTTAAAGTGTCCAGTGGCCAGAGTTGTAGTGTGTGGTACAGTATTTGCCTACCATATGCCTGAGGCCCTGGCTTGATCCCTGGTGCTGCAAAAACAAAACAAACAACAAAAACTCCAAAGGACTATGTGAAAGAAAACAATTACCATCAAGTTAATAGATAAATAATTTCAATTTTTAATTGAAAAAGTCAGAGCCCAAATGCTGCAGTGACATTGGGTCCTTAGAACACTTGTGTTTTCTACAGTTGAATGAACAGCCCATTCACTGGAGAGAAAATGAATATAGGAATTCCTATTGATTCTTTTTTTCTCATTTGTTGAACATTTACAATTTTGTATATATTTTAGAAAGCATTTTTTTAGATTTTAGTGAGAGAAGTGTGTGTACTTTACAAACAAATATGTATATGTGTGGAAAAGCACAGTATGTACTGATGAAGTCATATGACCAAGGTTGGTAGACCACTGTACCAAGCACCTTCTTCCTGACCTAGGCTACTTCTGCTCCTGCACTGAATGTAAGTGCCCATTCTTAAGTCAGACTATCAGTCTGTCTTTCATTGCCACCACACAAACAAAGGAAATCAATTTTCTAAAACAAGTAACTGGATCTCATGCGACTAAGTGATAATGTTTCCCAATAACTCAGCTTTTTGCAAATAGAAGTCACCATTCCTGAACTGCTCTGGACTAACGCCTAGGTCTCCTTGGTTCTTAGTGATGACACCTGCAGACTCTGTTAGCAAGGCCACCTGCCGACTTTGGAGTCATGGAGAGAACTTTGGCTCTTGCCAGTTTCCTCCTCCACTTCCCTCCATCACCTCTACTTATACTCAACTACACTCCTACATTACTTAGATACGCTTCTGGGGCTGAAGTTCCATGGGAACTGAAGTCTGATCATCAAGGATACTTTTACCTATAAGCAAGGGAAATTCACTTTTCCTCCGGGAAATGCAACGTCTGTCAATCAAAGTCTCTTGGAAACAATTAAACCATATGGTTATGTTGAGAAGAAATATGTTGGGGAATTAGCTGGGCCTTCAAAATAGGAAGGAGAGAAAATATGGTAATACTCATGGTTGGAAGACCAGATTTTAACCTTTTTTTTTTTTTTTTTGTGGTACTGGAGTTTTTGAACTCAGGGCTTTGCACTTGCCAGGCAGGCATTCTACAGCTTGAGTCACATCTCCAGCCTGCAGTTTTAGTCTTGATACTTCTTGGTTATCTCAAGAATTTGCAATATGACCTAAGCCCTCTGAAGTTCCGTTTCCCAGGTATAAACTGAGGAAAATGTTGCCAACTTCAGGTCTAGTGGGCCAGGAATATGAGATCCAGGTATCTGCAAACCCTTTGGCTCATCAGGACCAGCTGAATCTGTGAGCTAGCAGTGAACTAGAGTGGTGAAAGGCTTGAGCTCCAGCTGCCTTCTCTACAAAGAGCTCTCAGAACCCGTTTTTCATTTGGAGAAGGATGCCTACCCTGCTGCCCCTTATAAATGCTGGACATTATTTTTGCAAGCAGTGCATCTGCCCCATAAGTCACACTCTCCTCTGAATACACGGCTGACAGTTATAGGACCTAATTCCATCCTAGAGTTTTCTTTAGGAACTGAAGGGAGAAAGCTGAAGGCGACATAGAAACAGCTTTTAATGATAAAAGGGACCTTCCTTAGGCATCTCCCGAAATTTCTCTTCTGTTCCCAGTCCAACCCTCAGCAGTCATGTTTTTCCTTGGTAATCTACATACTGATGTGATTGTCTGAAAGCTACAAATTGAAGTCTGACTTTACCTTTGACAGCAATTGTGTGCTGGGCTGGTTCTGTGTGCACGATCAAGGCTCTGCAACTTGCAAGGTTTCATGCTGATGTCATCCTAAATCTTTCCTAATTTGGAACCAGGGGCCCTGCATTTTTAGTTTGTCTTTCTCTGCAAATTATGTAGCTAGATCTGATTATGTGTTAATATTGGTCACCTGCATACAGATAAGGAGTAACATTTCACTATCACTTATGTGTAGAAACAAAAGTCCTGTGAAGAGCGACTCCTACTGTATTCTGAGTTCTTAACAAAGGAACAATTACAGCTTGGGTTTTGTACCAGTACTTAGAGGAAGTCCCATGGAATTCCTGAAGTCTCTGTAAGCACTGATAAGGTGCTTCCTCTGCACCTGCGACTTGGTGGCCCAGTTGGTGTTGGCTGACCTTGGGTCATTTCCTTCTTGGCACCCATGTGTGTCCCTGTCATTTCTATAGGAACAATCGTTAACAGTGGTATATCACAAGCATACTGTCTTCTTTTCCATATTTCTCCAAATGTTGCATAAAGGAGCTGAAGACTGTCATGAACTAATCCCCAAATGAACACAGTCAGTGACGTTTAAAATAAGTTAGAAAACACCATTTACTAAAGTGTACTTTTCATAATTGCATCTCCTCTTTCATTTTTCTCTCTAAACTTTAATTTCCTCCCTATCTCAGTGTTCTTATCAAACCCATTTAAATCTCATTTTTCTTTTTAAGCTTCCAAGGGCTGCTAGACAGAAGAGAAGGGCTTTGGCATCTGCTCCCATGAGGGGGTGGTAATTTCAGGGCATTGAGCCACGGACTGAGCTGGCAGTGTAGCCGGATCTTACATCAGTCCTGGAGGCTCAGCAAGATGATTCATGCAGACACGGGCAGAGGACCTGCAGGTGTCAAGGCCTGGGCAATAGATCTTACTTAAAAAGTGTTATATTAAAAAAGAAAAACTCCATTAATTCCTTAGCTGATCTGTGCTAAGGCTGAAGGCATCAGGAGAAGATAAGCATTTTGTTGCACAATTTCCCTCTGACTTTCTTTTTTTTCAAATAAACTTGATTTCTCAGTTTCTGTTCAAGTGTATTTTGGCTCAACTGTGTTTTAAATGAGAAAAGAGTGATAAATGCATATTACAAACACCACCTTCTACCTATAGGTAGGGATGTGTTTTGGATAATGTCTTCCATTCTTGTGATACGAAACTTTTAACAAATAGATTTAAGAAATGGATGCAAGAATGAAAAGAAAGAAAATGGGGTCAGAAAAGTTTGGGGTAAACACAGTCTTAGAAAGATATTCAACTCCCTAAAAAAAATGACACTTTTCAGCCTTTATATATATAATGACTATCATACTTTTATATTAAATTCTTTTGTCTAAACTCAAAATAGGAACATGGCTTAGAAAAACCAACTGTTGGACTGGAGGTGTGGCTCAAGTGGTAGAGAACCTACTCGGCAAGTCCAAGGAACTGAGTTCAAACCCCAATACTGCCACAACAAAAACAAAAACAAAACAAAACCCATCACTACCACCAAAAAACCCAACCGTTATGGTTAACTATGTACAAGCATCCCAAGTTCCAACAATGTGAAAAAATCTGAAGCTTTTAAATAATCATCAACATCGGCAACTAAGGCTTACACAGGGGGCTGCAAACTTCATTGCTGCCATGAATGGTGAGGCTCCGGATCACAAAGACCCTCAGCTAAAACCCTCCCCCATCTGTAGAAATCCCAGCTGACCTGAATATTGAGCTGTACTTTTTCCATCTCCACACCCAGGAATTTTGATCTGACATCAAAGATGCCCACATCTTCAGTCGCCATGATGTCGAATGTAACATTTTTAAACCTGGTGAAGAACATTCACACATGTAAAATTACAAATACACCTTTAAAGAGGAAAAAGCTAACAGAATCCCAATTTACCTTAGTGAACAGCCAGTTGTAAAAATCCTAAGGAAGTCACCAAACACCTCATCATCTTTTCCTCACTCTGCTTCTCACACACTAGGTATGCAGGCTATTGTTGAGATCTGTGGCTCACAGAACACCAAGTAGGTGCTTTATTACAAAAGACATAGAAGAAGGTCTTTGCTCTTGAGGAGTACAAACAATAGTGGGCAACAGAGTATTCCAGATGATAATTTTGGGTGTTTTTTTTTTTTTTTTTTTGGTAGTACTGGGGTTTGAACTCAGGGCTCACACTTGCTTAGGTAAGTGTGAGCCACTCCACCAGCCCTGTTTTGTGACAGGTATTTTCGAGAAATGGTCTCATGAACTATTTGCCTAGGCTGGCTTCAAATTATGATCCTCCTGATCTCTGCCTCCTGAGTTACTAGGATTACAGGCATGAGCCACTGGTGCCTGGCTAGATGGTAATTTTTATAGAAACTTCAAAAGAGGAAGAAGCCCTTTCTCTAAGTTTGTGTAGTCAGGTTACGGGCTCAGTGGAACAGAAGCCAGGCATGCCTCCGGGGGAGGTGGGAATTAAAGAAGTAGCCAATGCCAGCGGGCTGACTTCCTTCGAGACATAGGGCAGGGAGTGAAAGGTGCAAAGGAAGCAACACATGTGCTGGATGGGGGCTATTTCCTTTTCCACTTTGGATTCCCACCCTTGCTATGGGAGGTAGCTCTGACTCGGGAGTTGGCATGGTCTGTGGCTTTGAAGTTAGAAGACTCTGTTTTACAAGTGTAGACAACTCATCTATCAAGATCAAAGACACCCTTGCATTTTCATTCCTGTGACTCAGCTCATTCAAAGACACCAGGGGAGGCTTGAGAACAAAGGGAACCTCTTGATCCAGGCTTCACAGGGCATGGACAGCAACATGTGCTGATGGCCTGGGGGATAGACTAGGGACAAGAATACCCCTCTTGTCCTCTGATCAAGGGAAAGTTGGAGAGATGAAGAAAAGCTCTGTCCAAGGTCAAGGCACCCAAAGAAATGCTGAGTTTTTGCTTTGCTTGTGGCACTGGGGTTTGAACTCAAGGCCTCTTACTTGCTAAACAGACTCTCTACCACTTGAGCTTTTTGCCTTAGTTATTTTTCTGTATAGGGTCTCATGTTTTTGCCTGGGTCTGGCTTCAAACTGCAGTCCTCCCATCTATACTTCCTGCTTAGCTGGAATTACAGGCATGCACCAGCACACCTGGCCCTAAGTCAGAATTTGTGTGAGTGGATGGTATGTATGCTCTATGCAAATTGCAGGCCACACTTACTGGTTCGTTTGAAGGTCATCTATCCCTAGCAAGACACCTTTCTCATGCAGCTTTGCAGCAGTGTATCTCACTGGCTTTGCTCTCTTCGTGCCTTTGGGTTCTGCTTTTCCATCTAGTTTAATTGATCTCCGAGTATTTCTGATAAAATAAGAACAGATCATCTGTTACCACGATGTTTCTGGTAGCACCACAGTCCTGTGCAGGGTGATACCACAGTTCACACACATTGCCCCGTGTGAATGTGTGCCTTTTTGCCTCATCATAGAAGGTAACATGCAGTAAAACCTCACTACTGAACTGTTTTGGGAAAGGGATTTCCCAAGTGAGAGAAGTCTGTGTTACAGACTAATATTTTTAATAATACTTATACCATGTTCTCAGGCATATTGAACTAACTGACTATATTTTAAGTCATTTCATAGATCACTTTGGGGGACTTACATGAACTTTGTATTCCTAAGTGAGGGTATTCCTAAGATTGCTGTAACTTATTTAACAGGCACTATGTGGCTGGGTTCTGTTCTAGGTGCTAATTTTGCATTTACAAAATTACAAAGCCCTAGATTTCTATAGTGCTTTGAAATAAAATTCCTTTGCCATGTATTATTTCATGTAGTTTCATAACAGTACTTGCAAAACTGGTACTCCTAACCCATCTTAAAGATAAGAAAACTGAGGCTGAGTTCACTGGACTGATTCAAGATCATACAATGTATTAAAACCACACTAAGATTCCACCTCACCCCTGTTAGAATAGCCATCATCAGCAACACCACCAACAACAGGTGTTGGCGAGGATGCGGGGAAAAAGG